CGCGGTGGGCAGCACGACCATCTTCAACAACAGAACATGTCTTTCCCAGCAAAACCTTTTCTTTTTCCTAGAAATTAAACAACAATCCATAGGTTTTCGGGGTTGTTTGCCTAGCGCAACATAAATCCTCCACCCTTTTCTTTAGGCATTCGTATAGCTCTGCCGTACGATTTAAGCCCTAAACTCGTTCTAGGTTTCAAGGTTGTCGTCCGATACGACGTAAACCCTCATATCTTCTAGGCAATTTGAGTGACCCTGTCACGCAAATATAAGTCCTAATTAAATAAAATTGGCAGGATAAAACACTTTAATATTTTCTTCCTAAAATTGGAGCCAAACCATAGGATAGACTAGGAAGTCACTGAGGTTCTCCTCAGGATCTGTGGCCTCCCCTAGTTTCTCTTCATTTGAATTCCTCAACAATGTTCCAATAGCCAAGATGGTTTTTGAACTTATCTCTCCCAAACAATTGAAGAATATATTCGCCATTGTGACTCACAGCCTTGCTAGAAGATCATGACGCTTTATGATTTTGTCTGCATCTATTTTTAGGAAGGAGTGCCGCTAAACCACCAAAGTTTATTTTGGAAAAGTGATGACATCAAGTTTGATGATGCAGTGAGAAATACTCTACTAAATACAACGTACATATGTTGGGGCATGATGTGCAATGTATTCTTTTGTTGTTATCTTGTCTTAATGTGAACCTTATGCTATATGCAAACTCACTGAGTTATGACATGATGTACATCAGCTATGCTATTGTTGATGCACCATGATTGAGGCATGGATAAGACAAGTTTTTTTACTTTTGAAATCAGATGAAAAGACTAGTCATGCATTTTTTTTTAATCTTGATTTTGAAATGTTGGTTGATTTTAGTTTATTCATATTATGATCTTAACATCCGGACGTGCATGGTGGGTATAGATGTCAACTTGATAACAGTAAAACATCTATGGAAAACAAATAGAACATGTAGTGGAAACGATTAGTTCAGATTTGGGTGGAAGCATTAAAAATTTTAAAACCCAACTAATCTCAGTTTTCATGAGAGTAGTTGAGATTTAAAAAAGTGAAAGAAAGTTTCTTAAATCAATCTTAAATAGACGTATTCCTTAAATACAGTTTCTTAATGGGCAATTTAGACATATTCCTTTACTAGAGTTTCTTAATTGGACAACTTCCAATTCTTCCTCATCTCGAATCCTTTCCAATCAAGCAGTGACTTCAGCATCATTTAATAGATAGAAAAGGAAAATAATCAACATTGAGTTCTTCTTCATCAAATTGGCATCACATCAATTCTTCTTTACATTAACTACACTGCAAGTGCACCACCTCCATAGATTCATGATCATAAGAAACATGCTTATAAAGCTACTTGGTCTATATCTGTACTATTAATTGTGATGTTATTTCGTACCAAAATTTATAGAAAAACATTATCATACTTCGCTGAAATAGGAGCATAAATGATTCATCATTCAAATCCTTCCATTGTTCAGAAGAGGGGGCTTTGCATATAGCTGACACATAAGAGGTCCTACTGAATGCAGAAGTTATGGTTTTTTGAGTAAATTATTGTTAAATTTTTAACCATTTTTGCTGTCTACATGCAAAAGGGTTCTTATTTTCTTGTTGTTAACAAATAATTCAATGCCAGAGTGGAGTCTGGTATAGCTATGCCAGAGTGGAGTCTGGTATAGCTATTTCTGTAGTTAATAACCTGAAGTTCAACTATACAATCTTTGATCTTTTCTTGCATCAAATCTAGTTGGGTTTCACCTAATTTTTTTATGAAAGATATAAATTTGAAGAAATAATAAGGCTTCATTTTATAGTATGTGTTGCTGCTATGCTATACTTTGTAAAATCAAGTCATCGTTACTCTTAAAATTTGTGCAATTTGCTCTGCAGGTGTGTTGGAAATGATTTTCAAACCATAGAAGAGTTGCACTTAAAATATATTACTTTTATTTACCTGCTTTCTCCTCAAATTACAAGCATTCCAAGGTGATGTAATGCATTTGGAGAAACAAAGTTTCATTTGAATCTTGTTGTACACTACAATGCCAAAATAGTGATTGCAAACTAGTATTCCTATTTTCCTGGAATAGCAAAATAATTGAAGTTTGAAAAAAATGAGATAATTAAGCAATTGGCAACTGCCCTTCTCATTTATCATGTGCTGCTACCATGATGTTATTTTAGTCCTTTTTTTCATTAGTTACTATAGTGCACATCTTTTCTTGTTACAGATGATAATTACTATTTGGGTATTGGCTAAATTCCCTTTTGTTGCAGATGAAGAACTGATTTCCCCTTGTATGTGCAAAGGTACCCAGCAATTTGTTCATCGTTCTTGTCTTGATCATTGGCGTGCAGTAAAGGCAAGTTTATTTTATCTCATACAGCTCCATTCTGATTATGTTGTTCGAAGCTCAATTGCTTGTGCGCGAATATATATTTTATGTCCATGAAGTAGAGCCAACATTATAAATTTGTATGTTTAGGACATGCATCGATGATTTTTAACTAAATGGAGATATTCTATTGTTATATATTTTATGCAAAATCTAACATTTTATTTCTTTAGGATAACTAACGGCTTTCTTCCATATGCAAGATAAATGGTTTACAGTTTTCTCTTAGATTAATTTTTAAGTCATTGGAAGGATGGAAGTTCTTTTTTGTCCTTTGAAAATCATGGCATTGGTTTAACCTTCGCAAAGCTTGTTATGAATATGAAAACTGGTTCACTGTTTAAATTGACAGTTTCTCATGTTTGGTAGCAAATTGGATTTTATACTTGAAATTAATTGCTTTTAATTCATTCCCTTGATTTTATACAGCTTTCCTAGCATGAATCCCACCATCTATGATTTGCTGCAGAAGAGAAAAGAAATAATTAATGGGCTTCATTAATTATTTGATTAATTCTTTAATGGGTCTAATAACATGATGAAATTAATAAATAGACACGTTACAACTCCCCTTGTAATCTCTCTCGGGTGTTGGTTTTATAGGGAAAAGAATCGCATGCTACGGCTTCTTGTGTTGGTTCGGTGCTCTGCCCAAGGGAAGAAAGAAATTGCATGTGTTTCTTCCTCCGTGAGGCTTGCAGGCAGAGAGAGAAGGGAGGAGAGAGATATCTTTTCTTGTAATCGTCGAGGTGATTTACAGGTGTAATCCTCAAGCTAATAAAATCATCTGCAACTCCGTGGACGTAGTCAATTTGTCGAACCACGTAAAATTTGTGTGTTTCGCTGTGTTTTCTGTTTTGTGAATTTCTCGATCCAGTTTTTCGCTTTATTGCCGTCATTTTTCACAACAACTGGTATTAAAGTCTTGGTTCGAATTTGAGGAAGAATAATTATTGGAAATGAAGTGATGACATTAAGGATCGAGAAGTTTAATGGCACAGATTTTGGCTATTGGATGATGTAAATAGAGTACTACCTTTATGTGAAGAAATTTCACCTGTCGTTACTGGGAAAGAAGCCAGAAAAGATGGATGAGGTGGAATAAAATCTTGTTGGATCGACAAGTTTTGGGAGTTATACGATTAATCCTGTCAAGATGGGTTGCCCACAATGTCATCAAGGAGATGATTACTGCAATTCTCATGACGGCTTTATCAGGTATGTATGAAAAGCTATCCTATCGACAAGCTATCGACAAATAACAAGATGCACTTGATGAAAAAATTATTCAACTTGAAGATGACGGAATGTGTGTCTGTTGCTCAACTTCTGAATGATTTCAATATCATCACAAATCAATTGTCGTCTATTGAAATTGATTTTGACGAAGAGATACGTGCGCTGATATTGTTGTCTTCGTTGTCAAATAGCTAGGAAGCCATGAGAATGTCAGTTAGCAGTTCTGCAAGTAAATATAAACTGAAATATGATGATATTCGTGATTTGATTTTGGATGGGGAGGTGTGTAGGAAAATGCCTGGCAAAATCTCGGGTTCGAGTTTGACACTGAATGTTGATTCTAAAGAGAGATCACAGGACATGAACTCAAACAGAGAAGATCAAAATCAAAGCATTGTCAACAAACAACCTGCTGGAATTGTGGCGAAACTGACTACATAAAAGGAACTGCAGGAAAAAGGAACTGCAGGAATCTCAACTGCAGGAATCTCAAGAAAGAGAATGATAGCGCTAATGTTGTAACTGAAGAAGTACAAGATGCACTACTACTGACAGTTCACAGTTCTGTTGATGATTGGATACTGGATTCAGAGGCTTCCTTCCATACATCTTCCCATCAAGATTTAATGCGAAATTATGTCGCAGGTGACTTTGGGAATATATATTTGGCTGATGGAAAAGCTCTGAAAGTGGTGGGGATGAGAGACGTTGACATTGCACTCCCTAACAAGAGTAAATGGACTTTGTAAAAGGTCAGAAACATTCTTAAGTTGAAGAAAAACCTCATTTTTATTGGGCAGCTCAACTAGGGTGGTCATTCAGTAGTGTTTTCAGATAACACCCGGAATGTTACCAAAGGAGCATTAATATTGGCTCGGGGTAAGTAAACTAACACATTATATATGACTATAGGTTTACTCAATACTTTTCTCACTACAGTTGTAGAGAGCACGACAGATCTGTGACATTGCAGCCTTGGTCACATGAGTCAGAGTATGAAAAAATCTTGCAAGATGAAAATTTGAGCAAGTGAGAGTTGGCTATGAAGGAGGAGACAAATTCCGTGACACGAAATTAGACTTGGGAGTTGACATAACATTCATCAGGGAAGAAGACATTGCACAACAAGTGAATATACCTGGTGAAGATTGATGACAATAAGAGATACAAGACTGGACTTATTGAAAACGACTTTTAGAAGGCATGATATTGTCCATGCAGTGGGAGTTGTAAACAGATACATGAGTAACCCAAGAAAGAGCTTGAAGGTACAAAACTATGTTGACACTAATATGTCTACTAAGGGTGTTACTCTTGAGAAACTGAAGTTGTGCGCAGCTTCAATTGATCTTCTAGCTTGAAGACCGGGGCTTTAAGTTGCAGAGGTGGAGAATATCACGATTAAGAAAAAGGGCGTGCAACCAGTGCACCAGTCTCCAAGTGGGAGATTTGTTGTGAATATGGAAATCGATCCACTGTTCAAATTAGTAAATTGGATTTGATACTAAAAAATAATTGTTAAATTAATTGCTCTTAATTCCTTCCCTAGAATTTCTACAGCTTTCCTTGCATGTATCCCGCCATCTATGATTTGCTGCAGAAGATAAGAGGAAATAATTAATGGACTTCATTAATTATTTAATTAATTTTTTAATGGGTCTAATGACATGATGAAATTAATAAATAAGCATACTACAGCTCCCCTTGTAATCTCTCTCAAGCGTTGGTTTTACAGGGAAAGGAATCACATGCTATGGCTTCTTGTGTTGGTCAGTGCTCTGCCTAAGGGAAGAAAGAAATCGCAAGTGTTTCTTTCTCCGTGCGGCTTGCAGGCAGAGAGAGAAGGGAGGAGAGAGAGATCTTTTATTGTAATCGTCGAGATAATCGACGGGTGTAATCCTCAAGCTAATAAAATCCTCTGCAACTCCGTGGACGGAGGCAATTTACCAAACCACGTAAAATTTGTGTTTTTGCTGTATTCTGTTTTGTGAATTTCTCAATCCAGTTTTTCGCTTTATTGACGTCATTTTTCACAACAAAGCTAAATAGCATGGTGGCTGTTGTGTAATTTTGTATATGCATGTTAATATCCATGTACCATTTTTACATTTATGCCTTGTTGGATAAAGAGACTGCAAGCTAAATTCTTTGAATGGCTCCATATGAATAAGGCCTCCTTTCAGTTATCTGTGCATTTCATGGCTGAATACTCCATATCTTCTTGCAGCGATTCGTATTGTCAGTCTTTTTATAATATAAACATCTTTTATGTCTCCTTTGGCTGCTTGAAGATTGACAAATGCTTTCAGAAATGCTGAAGTTTTCCTAAATCCATCATTTAGGATGTCATTAGAAATAACATAAATTTTGAACACCACAGATCTTCTTAAAAACCACTTAAAAGTTTTGATGTTATTTTCTCACTTAAATATGAGCTAAAAAAAAGCATTATTTATAGAATATGTTTTCTATCAAGATTGCTCTTTAGTACCTTGTTGTTGGTTTCAGGTGACTATTTGCAATTATCATTCTAATGCTCTCATAGAATATCTGCTTGCGTAACATTCAATTAAATAGTCTATTTATACGAGAAAAGTTGGACAGCTCAACTAATCTTTTGTAAAACTGAATATGATTTACAGGAAGGGTTTGCTTTCTCTCATTGTACAACATGCAAGGCTCAGTTTCATCTTCGAGTTGAGTTGTTGGAGGATAATTCTTGGCGGAAAATGAAATTTCGCATCTTTGTAGCCAGAGATGTTTTCCTTGTTTTTCTGGCTGTTCAAACTGTAAGGAAATGCTTTTGAAATACTTTGGCGCAATTTTTGTTTTCTAGTTTGATCCTAACTGCTTGAGTTGAATTCATGTTTTTCTAAAAATGATTAATCATTATTTGGGCATTGTCTGAATTCCGTTAGAGAGGGAAAGAATAACTTCTTGTTGACTGAATACAGTTGCTTACTTGCCAGCATACATGTGAAATCTAAAGAAACGAGGCAAAGAATGTCTTTAGTTAGAAGTATGTAAAAAATAATAGAACATATTTTTTTAATCTCTTGCTTTCTACATTAACACTTTTCAAGCTAGCACTTTTTGATAGCACTTCTCTTCAACTGGAACATATCCATCAATGAGTTCAAGTTTGTTGTAAAGATTGGAAAATTATGGAGTCCCCGAGTTTGGATAAAGATATCACTCAGTTGTTTTTCGCTAAAGATATGTGGATTCCTCACTGCATCTGTAATGAATTGACAATCCACTTGCAAGTATTTTGTTCATCATGGACGATAGGTTTTTGCTTCTTATGTAAATAAGTTTGTGATTATCAAAATTAAAGATCATATATTTATAACCAGAAAGTCAAATTTTTATACTCAAATCTTAATCGGGATCATTTTGCAGGTAGAATGAGCTATAGACCTATATTGCATTTCAACGTTTGATCTTGCTAAATAGTCTTATTTTTCTAGGGCGCGAGATTTTCTTACCACAAACACAAAATATTTGTAGTGGATTTTTTATCCAGAAAAAATAGAGCATAATTTAAATAGAAAAAGCTTCAATCTTTAAATGATTATATTTTTAGTCAACTAAACCATTTTTTTGGAGAATTCTTGATATACTTCACTTCTTAGGAAAACATCCTTGTGTTTTTTCTTTGATTTTTGTATGGACTGGCTGGCCACACCAACAATGAAAAATATATTAGGTTGAGTGATTGACTAAAATAGCAATTAAATGTTGATAATGAGAATGAGAAGCATTGTCATCATTCTCAAGTGATTGTAGATTTTTTATGGGAGAGTTAGTATATTTGCATCCATATATTTGCATCCAAGAAGGTTTGTTTTCTTAAAGATCTCTAGCATATTTTATTTAAGAGAAAGAGTTACCTTCCTTACCATATGCAAAATTGATACCAATAAAGTTTTTTGGACGCTTCTATTTCTTAATGACAAATGTCTTACGTAAACTTTGTTTTTTTTCAATAATTTCTAAACATCATATTTAGCACATAAAATTTTATTAACATACAAGGTAAAAATAACAATGTCTCTAGATGAATGTTGAATAAAATAGTGTTTGGTAGTAGTACTTTATTTCCCAGCATTAGCCAGAAACTTGTAGAGTTTTCCGAGCCAAGCATGACTACTGTATTTTAATCCATATATAACTTTTTCTAAGATTACATACTTTGTTCTTTCTTTTTAGCAACATATACCAGAGTTTATTTCATTTAAACAACTTTGACAAGATCTCTATGAAGAACAACTTTGATATGATCTCTATGAAGGAAAGTATTATTGTCAAGCATCTGGAGTATAAGGTAACCTTGTATAATTACAATAGGGAGGAATACAAAGGGGAAAAAATCATGTAGTAATCATTGCCATGGATCTAGTAACGTCTTTTAGCCACCAAATCTGCCTTGTGTTGGTCAATAGACTCAACTATTTGAGGGGACATAACAAAAATCATAGGTGTGTTGGCTAAGAAGAGCACTCATTTCGTTATTTATAGAGTTCAGGAAAGCCTCTTGGCGTGTCATGTGAATGGAGACAAAAATAAAAATAATGCAAATTATCAAGAAGAAGGGGAAGGAATATTAAATTATATGAATGAGTATAATGGATGATTAGTGTGTTGGCATTTATCTTTGTAGAGAGCAGTTGAAACATATGGATTAGAGTGTGCTTAGTGGTGGTTGATTGCTCAGTTGTAGCAGACTTGACGAAGAGAGGTGCTTGATGAAGCCAACAAGTATATTATAAACTTGTAAGGAAGGAGATGGAAGTTTGGCGCTAGGATAGAGGTATTAAGTTTATTGATAAGAGATGAATTGGGAGCAAAATAAGACCTTTCATGAAAGGCAGCATCAATAGAAATATAGTCTTCTTGTAGAATTTTTATAACATGATAACCTTTTTAGTATGAAAATAAAATGAAAAAGATGCAAAGAACGTTGCAATGTGAGAGTTAGTCACAACTTGGGTGGAAGAGAATAGATAGAATATACAAAATCAAAGATGCAAGGAGATGATGAAAATGAGTTTTATATGGATGAAGATGGAGAATGGAGTGCCTCTGCATATAATTGTAACAAAAACTTAATTAACATATGCAAGAATTGCATCTCTCCAAAATACGCATTTAAAATGTTAAGATGTGAGTGACACCAAAAAAAAAGTGAAAATTATATTTAACTATCTCATTTGTTATTGACATGATAATTGATGTATAATTCATTCATAATACAAAAAGATCAAACAGAAGGCTACATAAATTCAAGAGCATTATCAGTACAAAATGTTTTAATTTGTATAGAAAATTATGCTTTTTTTTGGTAGAATAGTTTGAATACATGAGTTTTTAGGGTAATGCTTTAATATTCTCATGTCCTCTTATGTGGTCATTAATGAAGGAGATAAAATAATGAAAACTTTGATGAGTAGGCCCAGGATATTGTCCCAAAATATCATAGTGGATAAAATTAAAAGGTGCACTATTTTGGGAAGACAGACCTGAAAAGAAATGTGATGGTGTTTGCCAAATTCATAGGTATCTTATCCAAGTTAAAAATAGGGGGTGACGCATGAGCGATGCTTAGATTATGGTGAGGAGGGGCGTAATCCTGAAGATAGTTTTTGATAAGGAAAATGATAATATGACATTGGGTGTTCTATACTAAGATAATAAGTACACAAAACCCAACACCAACCATCTTATTCAAGTTGAGATTTTTTAGGACATGGTGAAAAGGATACAAGTTATAGAGCAATTGTGAGGCTTGGTTAGATGATATAAATAAAAAATTTATAAGAAATTTTTGTATGTATAAAATATTGTCTAAGTTTAAGGAGGATGAAAATTTTGTGGATACTTTGTTAGAGATCAAAGGAGAATGAATGACAACCAGTTCTAGGGAGGTTATGATATGAGATGAAAATAATTAATATTTATCATCTTGAAAATTAAATCAAAATCTAAGATGCACGATGTATCGGTAGAGAAAGCAACGATGGAGCAAGAGGAAGAGACATAATGAGATACTAAGGGTGAGGTAGATGTTTGAGATTATTGTAGCAATGATTAACTTAAATGAGATAGAGAAAGAGAGAGAGAGAGAGACCAGTTCGAAGATGTCACTAGGAGGAAGTAGAGGTTGAGCTAAGGAGAGATGACTATTTTTTTCTAGAAAATTTTTGAGAGGATAATTTGTGTCTATAGCGAAGACCATTGAATTGGTATGACATACACATTCACTACCAATCGAACCATCACATTCATGATTCTCTCGATCACTACTTCAAATAACAACCTAGAAAGATTGTTTTGAGTAGGAGGTTGGGATTAAAGAATATTGCGACACAAAAATTCAAAAGCTTGCAATTGTAATATTGAAGGATGGTGGAGTTAATTATCAACTGAAATTACATATACTGCAAAGAAGGATTTAGTCTAGAGATAAATTTAGCACCTATGAATTTTTCATTCTATTTAAGCAATGTAATGGGAGCAGTGGTGAATAGAAGATACAGGAGTAATTCATTTAATTTTTTTATTAGCATGTTAAAATACTCATCATCGACTTTGAGTTTGTTGAACTGAAAAATTCTAATAATAGTGTATAGATGCAACAAATATTATTTTTATTTTTAAATTTGTAGAAAATGTATGAAGTAAAGAAAATCTTACACAGTTTTAGGTGAATTCTGAAACATGACTTTTGAGATAGTATATGATTTAAGATTATTGAATAAGACAACATAGGTAGATGCTTGGTACCTATCAAAATTGATGGTATTGATATTTTCTAGATAAACACATCAAGATGATGAAGTGTGTTGTGAGGATCGACAAGAAATCATGGACAAATGTAGATCTAATATGCTCAAAGTTCTAGCAAGCATGGAAGAGGCATAGAGCAAGAAATCAAGCAATGGATCAACTAGACGCTTGTTTGAGGTTGCGGTATTGCCTCGTTGTTGTGAAAGGAAAGCAGAGAAACGAAAAAAATGGTATTCGGATGAGTTCCCGCGATGAACTTCGCCTCCACTACAAAGTTGTAATGGGTGAAATTCCGAACACGATGAGGCCTTCTCCGTCGGACCGACTTTCCGTGTTAGGTAAGTTAATATTACCAATTTATCCTCCTCGTAGTCCTCCTTTACTGTCTCATCCTAGTACTGCTGATATTCCGCCACCAGATTACTCATCTTGATCTCCACCTCCTTGAACTCCATCTCGTTCATGCCTTCGCCACTGTATCAGTGCAAGAAAGCCTTCCTCTTGAACATGGAGGTGAACTGTTCGTTCACTTTTCTGAACTTTTCTTTAATGGAGGTGGAGTTTCCGATGAAGGTCGTAGCCATGTTAAGTCCCTTGGGGGGAATGTCGTGTTTTGAAAAAACGACGATAATAAAGCAAAAAATGGAACGAGAAAAATTGCACGCAAAAAAACACTGGAGCGACACAGATTTACATTGTTCAGCAAATTTTTCTATGTCCACGGAGCTGCAGAGTATTTTATTTCTTCGAGGAATTACACTGTCGAACGCCTCGACGTTTACAAGAAAATTTATATTTTCTTCTCTCTTCCTCTCTTTCTCTCTTTTTCTCTTAGAGGACTTAGCTTGACCTTGTTTGGCTTGACTTTGCTTGGCTTTATGACAAACCATAAGAGGATATTTATAGAAACTATGAGAGCGATAAGTGAGAGGTAGGTGAGCGGTAGGTGGGTGTGGTAGGTGGGTGTGTAGTAGGTGTGAGGTAGGTGGGAAGTTAGGTG